AAGGAAGTCAGGACTACGTAATAAGGCTGTCTGACAAAAGAAAAGAAAAGAAAAGAAAAGAAAAGAAAGAAAGAACGAAAAACACAAAACAAAACAAGAGATTAGCACAAAGACATTAGACTCTCCTTGGAGATTTAAAACAATTCTAAGTCTCTGTATCTTTCTGTAGTATTACAAAATTTGAGATTTTGTTGAGATGGTGGAATCTACTAGGAAAATCCAAATCATCAGTAATGCAAAGGAGTGGAACCTATTCCAAATTGGACCAGAGAGAGGCCGTTGATAAGGAGATATCAGAAGTAGAAGTGTGAAGACCATCAGGAGCCAGGCCACACAGGACATCATCATTTGAGCATTACCTGAGGACCCAGAGAATGTTCCCATTCATGAAACCACATCTTTTCAAAATGCTTGTTTCTTATTTTCATTTATTAAAAATAACTTGTTAAGGATTAAAGCTATTGGAATAATTAGTATAAAAACTAAGTGAGCTTAATTTTACTAAATTAAACTCTCCCCAGTATTAAATTTGCACAACACAAAACATACCTAAGTGCCTTAAAATTGGTAAAATGACATTGTATTGTATTTAAAGCAGCATGCCTTCCCAAACAGAATACCAGGTGCCACTGCCATTTATTTAAAAGTCATTCAACAACATAGTGTGTTGGGAGGATAGCATGGAAGTCCTTGTGCCCGCAGATCTCCAGAGAAAGCAGGAATGTTAAGCACATGATTCTTTCCAATAGGAAACATGAAAAATGTATTCTTCTATCCCAAAAGCTGAGAATTGGAGGTGATGAACATCCTGGCGATGTGTTATGTGTTGAGCCATATCAAACTCCTACCCCCAGGACCGGAAGTGGGTAGTAATCTAAATGACTCTTAGAGCCAGAGACTTCCCTAAACTTTACATCCAGAACCAGAGGTAGCTCGTAGTCCAGATTATGTTTGCACTATTTGTATGACCAAGACCAGGCCAGACCCTTAAGGCCCACAAGTTACTTCAGGTAGTGTATCTCGATAGCCCATTTTCTTGGAGAAAAATCACACTACTCTGAGTTGAGTATCAATGTAATTATGCTTCCTTGTTCAACAGAGATTGTATTACACCAGGACCCCACACACACACCCAAATTATACTGTGCTTAAATACACTGAGGATAAAACACTGTCTATTAGACTCTTTGAAGTCTGATCCAAGTTGATGAAGTCAATCTATACTGGGTTTTCATTCTGATTTCTTTGTGTGGTTTGCTTCCCTATATGACACTTGCAAGGACACTCTCCTCTTAATTGTGCATATTAGTTCGTTGTTAAAGATAACTGAGCTTTAAAATACAAAACAAAACAAAAAGCCATTTGCTTTGAAAATCAAGCCAAGGTCAGTATCACTATCTAAAGTTCTTCAGAATAAAAAGAGGAAAAAGAAAGGAGGGAGGGAGGGAAGGAGGGAAGGAGGGAAGGAGGGGAGGAGGGAAGGAGGGAAAGAGGGAAGGAGGGAGAGTGGGAGGGAGGGAGACAGTTCTCAGCTGGCTTATTTGGAATTCATGGGAGGAAATAAGACAGTTAAATCTCTAAGACCTTCCACCTTGGTTTCTGAAAATACACTTGTCCAGATGCAGCACTGTGAATATCAGTTCACAAACAAAAGGAAGCTAAAAGGTAGCTTCATGCTTTTTGTGCTGAGAACAGTTTTAGGAACATCTAGGTGAGCACAAGAACACATAAGGCAGGAGGAGGAGGAGGTAGCTGATGACCTAGCACTGATTTGCAGTGCCCCTCTACTATCAGGAGAAGATTGAAGATTTCTGAGTTAAAAAAAAAATTAGTAAAATTAAATGCTACAGACTTATCTCATTTGTTCCAATTAAATCAAAGTCCCTACATTACTGAGGGACAAAGTCAGTTATTTCTGGATATAAAGGACCATGTAAGACATCTTGGTATAAGCTGACAGGAATGGAGAGCCCCTAATGGCCAGCTGCCCAGTTAGTCCATTCCTAGCCATTGGTGAAGACACTGTCAAGCATGGGGCCCTGGAATCTGCACAACCTCGATGGTAAGAAATATAAATACCAGGTCAGCCAAACTACATATAAAATGCCACAAGAAACCTACTTTATACGCTAATTTTAAAAATAAAAGTAAAAATGTTTGAGCTGCTCCCAGGAACCATAAACAATTTGGATTATGCGCAGTGTGATGACTGCCGTCACACTAGAATCACTGGGGATGGTTCTGGGCATGTGAGAAGACCCATCTTAATTGTGGACTGGACCATTCCTGGGACAGAGGATCATCATGGGCCATATAGAGCATCCTTCCTGCTTCCCATCAGTGGATGCAATGGGACCAGCTAGTTCAGGCTTCCACTGCTGAGACTTTCCTGCCATGCTAGACTATAATGTGGACCTATGAGCTAGAAAAAAAATCCTTTCTCCTTAAATTGTCATTGTCAGGCATTACTACTGTAACAGCAGAGATGACCAGGGTTTCTGTCACTTTGGTTGGAAAAGCATATTTTTTCAATTGGTGATGATTACTTTGAAGACTCACAACTGGTCCAAGTGCTGAGAGAAACTGAGTGGCAGAACTATGCTTTTAACAGGACACCACCTCCACCCCTCAAAGGCTTGAGGACCACCACAGAGGATCCAGGGAGAATGCAAGAGCTGCAGAAAGGTAGAGTGTGTCATGGAATATTTTCTTCTGTGGAGTCTTGAACTCTCATCTACCCATCAACACTGCCTGGGGGAGGGGAGGTAATCATGAGGCCCATCTTCCCATGAGATTATTCACTTAATGGTTGCTGGTAGGAGGGAGACAATTTTCTTCAGTGGTCTAGCCACTGGTGAAGTTACCATGCTCCTGTATGTAACTGTAATGGAACTCTGAGTCACAAAGACAAAGAAAGGACAACCGATTAAGAAAGAATAGGGGGCTGGGGGAGTTATGCAGGGCAAATATGATCAAAATATGCAGTATACATGCATGAAAACATTTAAAATGAAAAACCCAGTACCAGGGGTGAGCTATCTCTCCACAGGTTGTTGGCCAAAAAGGCCTCTGATAAAAACAATACAGGTCATTGTCCCTGATACTGGTTGCATACCTTAGCTAGATAGTAAGACCCTACTACTGAACACAATACATCCTTTGGTTGAAAGACATGCTGAAATCAAGTTGCAAGTAAGTGAGTTTGAAGCTTCCTCCTGCTGGTAAAATTTTATGGTGCTGGAAGGGGCTCTGCAAGCTGCTAGCAGGGTACTATGTTCCTTTGTATGCCTGTGGATGACATTAACTCCAGTACTGACCTGCAGGGCAAGATGTATCCAGTGTTCAACACTGTTGCAACTGTTAACTGTTTTGAGATGAGACTGGCAAGTTGATTCATATGCGCGGTGCTGCAACCCTAGTCAAAAGCCATAGCTTTGAAGGACTTAGGCCCTCATGGGGAAGCCCTTGCTAACAAGACATGATGTAGCTGTCAGTTTGCTTCTGAGTAGTATGTCCATAGACTAAGGCTGCTGTCAGCAAAGCTTCCTTTTGTACTGGGCTGCAGTTACTACAGAAGGTCGTATCAGGTTGGTTTGCAGAATAACTAGTGGGTGCTAAACTCTGAATAGGGCATTCCCCTTCCAAGGTTCAGGAACGACATGAAGTGGGATGGGGTACAAAGACTGTAGGAGACAGAGGAGGGGTACAATGGGGAACACAATCTTCAGGACCTAGCAAAGTTGCTGCAATCTTCAACCTTTGGCAGTCGTCATCACTGCTAGAACCCACTCATGATTAGACCCATCAACAGTTAGTTATGGGATGGAGTAGGAGGGCTCACAGGGCCCACCTCTCCCAGATTACTACTTATAGGCAATTAACAATTGCTAGGGGAGGGGCCTCATGGGGTCCCACCCATCCCTGAAGATCTATAGGTAGTTAATAGGCTGCCAGACGGACACGTTCTCCAGCCTTTAGACATTAGTAATCAATCCCTCACTCATGTGCCTGCAAACTTGTTATAACCCTAAAGAAATCTGCTGGGACAGACAGACAGACAGACAGACAGAGACAGACAGACAGACAGACAGACAGACAAGACATAAAAGAAGAGTATTCTTTGGGACTAGAAAGGGGATCAGTGAGAGTGGGAGGTGACAAGAGAAGGCAATGGAGGGGTGAAAGTGACCCAAACATATTCATGTGTGAAAATATCATAATGAAGCCCATCATATATAACTACACTAATAAAAATGTAAATCCTGGGGTCCCCATCTTAGATCAGCCAAGTGAGAAGCTTGGCAAGTTGCCAGATTTTTCTGGGTACTTCTGATGGCCACTAGCTTGTGAATTAGCATATCAGAGCACCATTCTCTAAAGATGTCAGAATTGAAGTGCAGCTTTGTCAGAAAGTCAGTTCTAAGCTGAGTGGTGGAGCCACATGCCTTTAATCCTATCAGACTGAGGCAGTCAATCTTGGACTTCCAGGCCAGACTGGTCTATAGACTAGTGCCAGAGTTATACACAGAAATTGTGTAGAAAAACAAACAAATGAATGATCAAACAAATCTAATAACAAAAACAAAACAAAAAAAGGCAAGTTTGTTAGTTCTATATGGGTGAACACAGCTAAACTGCCTTCCCTCCAAACAGTAGAAGCAATAACACACAAATATATGAACTATAATTTGGGGAATCTTTTACAACAAACTGTCTTTGGTGTAATGCATGGGAAAGCTGTCAGCAACCCTGCAATTATACCAATACATATGTCCCTTGACAAAAAAGGACAAAGGAACGTGTGGCTCTGACCATAAGCACCATACCCTTTTGGATGATTCCAGTCCCTACCATCAGCAACGGCCCCAGCTTGTCATCCTTCCCCATTTCAGTGAGGGCTGTACGATGATGTGGAGCGGCTCATGGCCATCTGGCTACAGACGGGAATGTGCACAGCCACAGTGGGTGCAGAGGGCAGGAGCAGGCAGAGAAGCACTTGGTACATTTTTCATGGATTTTTTATTTAACATAGTACATGTAAACAAGGGGCATAAAATTCATAAAAATACAACACTCCTGTGTAGGATCACTTTATTACAGACACATCCTTTTGTTTTCTCATTCGTGCTGCTGGCCTACTGCAATAGCACACACGCTGCCAGGCATCTCAGAGGTTTATCTTTTAATGGACGGATTACCCAGCTTTTTTTTTTTTATGTCACAATAATAACTATTCAGTTGCTTTCTGTCTTTCCTTCCTTTCCTCACACTAAAGCAAAAATATTTGTAAATGCTAAAAATATGCAAAATACTGCACTTTAATACTGCATTGTCAGCTACATACAATCTATTACCACTCCATGTTGCCATAAAAATGGTGCCCCCTCCACCGCCGCAGGGTACCGGCTGCTGCTCCATGTGCTGGAGGCTAAGTATGCAGTGGCCCCCAAGGCCTCAGTTCCAAGCTGACTTGCCTAAAATACAAGCAGAGCTTGCTGGTGGAGTTACATTAAGACAGACTGTTACAAAAGGTTTCTGCAAAAAAAACTAATTTAGACTACTTTTAATGTTTCCCAGCATGTGAACTGGCTCTAATAGTATTTTAATGTTTTGTTTCTCTGTACAGAATTTCCAATCATTACATGTGAACTTATTATGAAGGGAATTGTTAGAGGGTAAGGACAGAAAATAATTTTTAAAAGGTGATAAAAAAAATCCTAACTGCTGTATCCACACAGCAGCCATGTTGGGCTGCAGAATAGCCGTGTGGAGGGCAGGGCATGCATCCCTCACACCCATGCCTGTCCTTTTCTTTACATTCCCCTGCATTATTACATCATCACTCAACATCCCTAAACCACGCCCTCCAGCTGCTCCCCTGTTTTCTGAGTTGGTAAAAGCTTATGAAATAAAACTAAGCATCAGATGAGGAAGCTTGGCCACAGTCTGCAACAGTAGGAATGGCAGTCCCCGGGCAGCGTCAGAGAGGGAGACCCTGGCTGGTGAGGCTGGCGCCTTACTGAGGCCACACTCCTCAGTCGCAAGTGCTGTCTTTGCAGGTGACCAATGTCCCCCAGACAAGCCTGTCCTTGGGCTCTGGGAAGAAGGCAGAAAGAGAACAGCTTTTCCATGGCTGCCAGAAGTGGGCACCGGAAGCCATCCCTGAGGGTTCAGGTCTCAAGGACAATCCACACTGAGGTTAATCTGCCTGTGGTTAATAAAGAGAAGACTGTATAACTAAATGTGTAGTCAGCCATGGTCACAGTTTCTTTAGAATTTAAAATCTCAAAACCATTTCTTACAACAATGAAGATTATGGTTTTGAAGTATCTCATTTCACACAAATTAACTTCTAAGAAACAAAATTCGTATAAGAAATTCAAAGCATGTTTAGAAATTTAAAAAAAAATCAAGGAAAAAATGGGGAAGACTGAGCATACTCACTCCTCACACTGAAATTTTTTTTTTTGGAGGCAAAATTATAAGGCTTAAGGCTTTGTCTTATTAAAGACAGGCAATTTTGAAAACAAAATAAAAAACTCTATTCATTTACATTTTGACAGAAGTTACTTAGGCTTTATTTTATCTTAATAGTGAAAGTAAAATTAGCATAAACTACAGCCACCATAAGCGCTCGCTCTCTCTCTCTCTCTCTCTCTCTCTCTCTCTCTCTCTCTCTCTCTC